CTCTTATACACATCTAGATGTGTATAAGAGACAGCTTGTGAATCTTACATGTTGGATGGACACAGCTTGTTTGAAGAGTGAAGAAACGAGAACAGAAGGGGAACATGAAATAAATTGGGAAGAGAGAGCAACGAGATGGTCGGGATGATTAGAATGATTAGAATGATGATGATGATGATTAGAATGATTAGAATGATGATGATGATGATTAGAATGATTAGAACGATTAGAATGATGAATGATGATGATGATGATGATGATTAGAATGATCAGAATGATTAGAATGATCAGAATGATTAGAATGATTAGAATGATTAGGATGATCAGAATGATGATGATGATGATGATGAGGCAAGTTTGGATGTGATCCTCCATTAGCAGCAGCACCGTGAAGATGAATAAGAATGGATAACCCGCCGAGGAGCTTGGCGGATTCGGTCTTGTTGTGCTCCGCTGGAACGCGATTTACCGTCCGAATACGTCGATAGCGATCTGATGCAGAAGCTTGAAAGGTGGGGATTGTCTCACACACACAACTATGAAATCCGGAATGCAAAGAAACATGTTGCCTCGCTCTCCTCTTCTCGAGCGTGACCTTATCCTCACAGACACAAACAGGAGCCTATCGTCTCCCAAAATGTTAAACGGCAAGTACACCGCCCAGTAAGGCGAACTTGAGAATAAAAAAGGGAGTCGTTCCAAAAAGCTGGGATGAGCAGTGCGGCCGGACCGAAATGGTTTGCGGCACCACCCAAAAAGAGAGGAAAAAAAAAAAAAAAACCTCGCTGGCGTTTCGGCAAAGCTTCGTGTGGAGGCGGAGTTCGCCTCGACAACAAAAAAGAGGCTTGGATGTACGGGTGGTTCTAACTTCTAAGTCACAAGATTCATGTTTTTTATGTTATGGGTCCCTGGAAGGCTGAAACATTATGGCAGCATGTCTGAGTCTGGAATCTGGATCCCAATATCTGCAATGTGTCATAAGACTCACAACTGTGCATTTAAGATCATACACTCAGACGAGGAGGGACTTTCTTTGAAGCATGTTTCAATCTGTACTCACATGATGTCCGGGGGATTCAGTTGAAATGTCCTACCTAGTAAGCTATTGCTCAAAGGAAATTGAAGCGTGCTCGACTCTTTATTTATCTTCTTCGCTTTGTCGCTTTTAAATTTCAATGGCTCTCAAGTTCTCAACTTTTCAAAATGTTGACTTGGGCTTATCTATAGTCAGGTTGTATGTTTCAAAAATAGTAAGAAAGTAAGAATAGTAAAATTATATTGAATAACAAGGATGGCTTCTCTCTCTCTCTCTCTCTCTCTCTCTCTCTCTCTCTCTCTCTCTCTCTCTCTCTCTCTCTCTCTCTCTCTCTCTCTCTGTGTCTCCCCTCCCCCCCTTTGTACGTCTGCAGTGCAAGGAAGGTGTACGTAATTCCATCGCTGAGTCCGTCATTCTCAAGCCTTGCAATTTTAGTTGCGGTAAGTATGACGAAAATTGCGCACTGTTTCCTCTTTCTGAAGAATAAAGTGTAGAATTACGATTTGCATGTTTCTTGTGATCATTGTTCTAGAGTCTAGAATTCTAGCGAGGGTGTCAAAGAGGTATACTTGATTTTTTTTTTTTCCCTTCCATGTTCGTAGATACAGAAGAGTGTAGACCACCTAAAAAGACTACGAACTCCCAAAAGAGAAATGGCTCATCAAAACGAATAAAATAGGAAAACCTCCCTTTAAAAAAAAATTATAGCTAGAGGTAACGAAAGAACCAAGAAAAGCACATCAATACTCGTGTAGATAAACGCAATGTGCAAGGCTTTAATCTCGTGGAGGACACATTGTGTAAAAAATACTAAAAATAGTAAAATACAGAAAATATACTAGGAGGATCACCGACCATCCCAGCATCTCCCTTCTGCCAAGTCCACCGACATTGTGTAATGCAGAAAATATACGAGGATGATCACCGACACATTGTGCCATCTGATTTTGTAGATAAAAGTATTTGATGTGCGAATTTTGAATGAGCAGATTGGGAAGTACCGTTGCTTTTGGGCGGATTTTTAATTCATTTCCTGAAATTCCTGTGTGTACATTTGCATACCTCTTGTCATCTTCTGTATGTGTGTGTGTGTGTGTGTGTGTGTGTTTTGCGCATATGGAATAATGGAAGGATGAATTTTTTAGTCAGATTTCCCTTACAATGAAACTATAATCACTAGCTGTGCTAAAAATCTGGGCGGCAAGGGTGGGGGGCCGGGGGCAGCAACCCCCCGGGTACCTATCGGGGTGGCGTCCAGGGAGGGTCCCAGGCAGCAGCCCCAGCACATAATATAAAAAGATATTTGGCGATATAATAATATAATTTTCTGAAACAAAAGAGTTAAAAAAACTCCTGCAATAAAGTCAGTTCAAATCCGCATTGCCGCGGGCTAAGGGTCATCACTTTGGGTCAAAGGGCCTTTGACCAAAAGTGACGACCCTTAGCCCGCGGCATTTTCCCCTTTGGCCAAAAGTGCCTTTGGTCAAAGGGCCAGGAACAGGGTCAAAGCGGCCCGTTGACCAAAAGTGACGACCCTTAGCCTGCGGCATATTCCCCTTTCACCAAAAGTGACGTCCCAAGCCTGGAAAATGTCTGAGAAAAGACCTAGGGCCCTGGGATACCCTGGCCTGAGTCAACAACTGGGTCCAGACCCCCCGCGAGAGATGGTTGACTTTTGGAAAGTCAATGGTCAGACCCAGAACGGTAGAATGAGGACCGAAGTCAAAGTCAACGCACTGGTCAGCCACGACCGTCGATCAGATGCACATCATTGGTTGTCTGCAGGTATCCAGACAATTCCATTCCGAATGGGACACAACTTCACACAAGGGAAATTGGGAACTGCGCTACATCTGGATGGCCATTGGCTTTCGATTTCGATTCATCTGGGCCGTTGACCCAAGGAGACTGGAGGGTGGACAACACGAGTCAACCCTACAAAGTGTTGAGCGGACCGCGTCCATGAAGATCATTCTGCCTTGCGCTGGCTTGATGCGACTGTAGCGCGGTGACGCAAGGCTGCTGGAGCCGTATGCTAGCGCCAGATGCTGGGAGTGGGCGGCAGCCTTGAGGGAGGATTATGTTGGCGCTGCCATAGCCGCGTAGCTGTCGACTAGGTGGTAATTATTGGCGAGGAGGAGGAGGAGGAGGATCAGGGCTGTGAGACGGGCAGGAGAGGTGGGGAAGCTTACCTGGACTCCCCTGGCAACGGCACGTGAGATCTGCTGCCTTCTCCACGAAGGTGAGGAAATGCTGTGCCATACTGCATATCTGCTGGCTGACGTGGACGTTAGGAGGATGGGCGCCCTGTTCTGATCTGCACAGTAATTATGACAGAAGGATGTCAGGGGGAACATGTATTGCGGAGGTGGCGTTAGTGGAGATGCCCGAAGTGGGAAGGGGAGAGAGGAAGACATACATGTGCTATTGATTATCATTGAGACTCTCATCCTCCTCTTCTCTGTCTCGTCTCTTCCCTTACTCTTCTCTCATGCTCTTCTTTGAGGGCAGAATACTCTTGAATTGTGCATGTGATAGAGACATGGACTTGTAATTGATGATTGTATAGTATGTATACTTCATGAGTCACGCTGGGTTCAGACTTCCATTGCATTGCTGATTGCCTTTCCGAAGAGACTGGGTTCATTACAATTGGAATCGGGGAAGAAGTTCTGAAAGACTACGTTGTGTAAAATAGCGTCGATTCGGTGGCGAACAACTTTTGGCTGAGGGTCACCTTTCCTAGGCTACCAGAGTGGCCAGAGACCACTTGCCCGG